CAAAAGCAAATTAAGCATTCTTTCTGACATTAATGCTCTATCAGGAGGAAGTCCCGGCGTAAAATCGAAAATCCCCGTTCCACATCAGCATTGCCATGAGAGAGAGTCAATGCTGATTTCACCAATTTGGTTACACTGGGATATCTTGCATTCCCAAGGGAGTCAACCAATTTAAAATACTGACTCCAATAAGAATCAATTCTCACATCTGTTGAGTCTGTCAAATCACTCTCAACTCGCTCAAATTGAAGTAGACACCATCTATCCTGCAAAGTATCCTCTGCAATGTCACATGGAAGAGCTCTTGCAATGCTTACAATGTCCTTATAAGTGCTTTTTTCACTAATATTACTTGGTTGAAGACATGTCAATGATTTCAACAGTTTGCATTGAATTGGAGCTTTTTCTATAATATATATGGAAGCCACAACATAGTGTTTCTGTAAGCAACTGCGAAAATGCAATTGATCTTTTTGAGATAATTTACTCAACTCATTAGAAACCTCACCACCTACAAATAATTTCCTCTAATGGCAAAAGATTTGTCTTGTCAAATAATTTCTTTGGATTTAATACATTACTATCAGGCATAGCAGACTTAGACTGAATGACAAGCTTCAAAATATCTACTTTCAAAATTCTAGTAACTAGCTTTAGAAGCAAGTCCCACAGTTTGCTGTACTGGAGATGTATTAGAGGTTCTTCTCTTTGAAAAAATGATGTATATTTTGTGAAAATTTCTGCACTTGAAATGCCTTGTAGTACTTCTGCTTTCATGGAAGGAATCTTCAACAAACAAGATATACTTCTGTACAAAACACTTGACATTATGCTTTGTTTACTTGAAGGAATATACTTTAAGTAGTAGTAAGTTATGCCCTCCCACTGCTCAATTAACCTTGATGCTGCATCATGGAATGTCAGCCAACGTGTTGTTGAATGTTTTATAAATCTATGCTTAGGCAACTTGAGCTTTTCTTGCACAGCTTCATAATTTTCCCACCGAGCAGGCCATCCATCAAAAAATCTGTAAACTGCCACAATAAGTTTTGATGCATCTTCACCCAGTTCACTTAATGCCTTCAGATATGTGTTATGAATAATATGAATCATACATGTTCCAATGTCAACAAGGCTTTTCTTGTGAATTTCCAGTATATCTTCCTTAAAAAGTCGTACACTTTTTGATTAACATTAGGACCATCTGATCCTATCATCAAAAGTTTGTGTAGTGACAAGTTGGCATCATCGATAGCTTTGATAATGTATGTATGCAATGTTTCTGCATCTGCCCGTCCAAGAAAACATGTATTTAGGTGTCTGCAGACAACTTGTTCTTTTTGCTCAGACCAAAACCTAATCATTATCTGTAACTCTTTCTTACTTTCCACATTGCTGGTTTCATCATAACTAATTATAAAGAATAAAGAGTGGATTTCTTCTAGAATTTTTTTTGGAAGTAAGGAGCCAATGCTTCAGTTATTAAATAGCGCAATTTCTTCTCACTCATTGATATTCCTTCAGGAAGTTTAGTTTTTGGAAGAACTGCTTGTAGTGTTGGAACCATATTATTAGAAGCAGCAAATGAGAAATTACTACATATTGTTTTCATGGCCCATATCAGTTCTGCATGGTATGGAGCATCTCTTGGATTATATAAACTCATAGTTGCCAATCCTTGTCCAGTCCCATTATCAGTATTACTTGGAATTTCATCATTTTTTGATGGGCCTGCAAAACTATCACCTGGTGCAACCAATGTCAGGTGTAACTGTCTTGGACCATAAGCACAGGTAAATTTTTGTCTGTGTTTGACAGTACCTCCATGATCAAAAAGTGCTTGGAAACTTTTTTTTACTTGTATTATGCAATTACATACTTTGCAAAATACATCAGTGTCTGAATGTACAGTTGCCCATAATCCTGTACAATCTGCCTTGTCCTTTTGTTTCAACCAATCAGTTCGGAATTTGCACTTTGGTTGCGTCATATTGAGTGGATTCAAACCATTACATCTATATTCTAACTTGGAACCTGCTATAAACCAACAGTTTGTTGGTATCATTCCGCTAGAGATTTTTATTGGTCAATCACAATCAAAAGAGAGTAAACACATGTAGACCACGTGATCGGTCACTTCTCTGCACGTGTTAAAATAGAACAGAAAAATAAAAAAATTAACAATAAAATAAAGCAATACTTAGAAAATTATTTTTTGCACGCTTTATCAATTTTATTTGATCATTTAAATATATATAATTTGTCAAAAATTAACATTAAATGTAAATTATTTAGATCTACACAAACTATATTTACAATTCAATAGTTTAACGTATTTCAAAATTTTATTTGTATATAAATTTTCCATTTTTGTAATGTGATTATTATATTAATTTGAAATAAAATTAACAACTCTTATTACGAACAAAATCAAACGATAATAAGCAGAAAACGAAACTTTTATGAGCACGATCGGAAACTGTTTATTTTTTAAAATGCTTCAAGATTGATTTAAAAATAAATTAATAAATCCGAAATAAACAGATTTCAAATAGAATAAGTAAAATAATATTTTATTAATGATTTCATAAATAACGAGGAACTTTTTCCTGCAGATGTTCCCTCACCGCCGAAACCGAAACTAACCCTTTACAAATAAGTGCTATAAATAGACTCTCAGCTATGCCTGCATGAAATATAGACCTAACCAAATCAATCAAGACCGACAAGTACTTTATCCGCACCTTCCCAAATAATATGTTTCAATTGATTTGATTTCAATTTTAATTTACATTAATTAATTTTGATTTTATTTTTAATTTTAGCTATGATTTCAGTTTTTGTTTCGATATAAAGAACAGAGTTTTAAAATTTTAATTTAATTTTAAATTTAAGTTAAATATTTTAAAATTTAATTATTATTTTTTGTTTTAATTAACTGACTACCTAGTTACGTATAAATACAGACAATAACTTAACAACACTGAGCGGCATTTGCGATTTTCAGTCCCACTCGGGCGGAGTATTTTTTCCATAAAATTCTAGTCTGATAGTTTGATAATTTGGCAGATCGCCTCGCTTTAAAACTATTTTTGATTGGTCCCACATCTTCCTAATTTTTAAGCATGTGGAAATAACCAAAAAAGTGAGAAAATGACCTGAAAAGTGAGGATACTTCAGAAAAGTGAGTACAAGTGAGAAAAGTGAGTGACTCTGAGGCCTGGAATAGATCAACGAAAACTTCTGACGCCTAAAAAAAAGAAAAAAACAACAACAAGAAGAAGACTTGTAGGTACTCGGGAACCAAAAACCAAGTCAAAATAAAACACAAAATGGCGACACTCTTTCTACAAACAGGCACTAGTGCAAGATTTGTGCATGCATTGCTTGTTGGGAAGTTGAAAATGTGAACATTGTGAAATCGAACTTTGACAAATGAATCTTTGAAAAAACCCATTTACCTGTCCTGTTATTCCTGACATATCTCATTTCAGCATCAGAATGTTTTTGAAACTAGATGGTGCTAATCATTATAATTTTATATTAAAACTAACTTCTGAAATACAGTCGACCCCCTCTATAAGATAGAGATACGTTCCATTCTTTAGGAATCCGATTTCTTACGAATCCTTCCAATCACAACCCGACACGTATCAAGTTTACGGACTACAGCTGTTTGAAAGATTTTCTTCCATAAAATTAATCGATTCTAGACTAATCCGACTCAACATTTCCAAAATACGTATATATTTTTTGGAAATAATCCGTATAAACTACGCTATAAACAAAAAATTGTAGGATTACTTACCGAGTATGCACCATTCGACAACCCCATTGCTAAAGCTTGTTTTCGTCGCGAAGCAGCACACCAAACCACGGCCGATTTCTGATAACTTATTTTTCTGCGAAAACTTCGTTGAACTTCGGAGACATCATTAATATAAATAATTTTAATCGCCGTTGAATAAGAAATGTTTCTTTCACAAGAAATGTATAAAATTACAGTACTGTATTAGACTTACGGTACCTAATTTACATACTGACAGACGATAGTTAGCGTAAAAATCTCCGTAGCGTGGCGCCACGCTAGACGGCGGAAATTATATATTTAATTATAACAAAGTTACAATAAGTTAATATATAATTATATATACAGTACCTAATTTATATATAATTATATGTACAGTACCTAATTTATATATAATTTATATAATACTGTACAGACGATAGAAATCTCTCCGTAGTTGGCGCTACGGATGGCAGAAAAGTAGTTCAGCTGCCTGATGACGTTTGAGGTAATTATAGGGAATTTTTACTGTTTTTTACGGATACCGGTCACAATTTTTTTCGTAGTTTTATAGGAATCGTAATTATAGGGGGGTCGACTGTATAATGTTTTTTTTAATATTTATTATATTTATTTTGTTTGTGCAAAATAAAAAAAAGAATAATTTCAGATGATACAATAGCATGATTATTCTTTTCAAAAACAGGAAATTTTTGTTAAGCATCAACAAAAATTTAACCTGGGGCAACACGTAACGAAGAGAAATTTCAACATTGGTTAGGTTAATTTCACTGAAAATGCCTCGTGGATGACCTTGTGGTTGTGGCTGATGAAGTTTGAACAATCATGCTTAAAACCAATAATACCAAAGAAGATTGGAGAATTAGACCAAGACCTGCAGTGAGCATCAAAGTGATCCCGCTTAGTAGCAAGTCACCGAGACATAATCTTTGTTCCAAAAATGGCCTTGCTGTTTTACTTGTTTTATTTTGTTTTTATTCATATTTGGGCTAAAGGATACTTAAAAATGTGGCCTGCATCTTACATGTGAAGTTACAATCTCCATGGGTTAATGAATTCCCCATACAGCCTTCAACAGGCTATGGCAGGAGTGAATAATATGTCTAAACATGCATACAAGGTTCAAAGAAATTAAAGCAGTCCCAGAGAAATTTGCAGTACAAAAATATAATAAAATAGAGTTAGTACATACCTATTTAGGTAAGATGTACCTGATCCTGCTATTTCTTCTTGTCCTTGACAAGCATAGAAAAACATTGGTTTGTCAGGTTGAGGCCATGGAAAATCTACACCTTTCATCATTCTTTCATCTGATGATAATGTAAAAATAAAAATATGTGAATTGTTACATTTTAAAAATTTAAAAAATACAATAATTACACTTATAAAACTGATTACACTGTTTTACATTATATTTATATATGCATTTTCATATTGCTCAAGAATTTATGATGATTAATATATCAGATTTATTGATAGCAATATTGTCAGCAATTTTAAAACATCTTTCATTATAAATACAATGATCACTGCTTGTGATCACATTGGTTCAATACTGTTTTTATTATAATAAATGGCTGATAACAATCTCTGGCAGCCACCATTTTGCAGAGCAGCCTGTGTTTACAGCAAGGATGGTCAACCAGTCAATTGCAGCTGATCAACAAATCAATCTTGAATACATTTTCAATTGATTATCACAGTATTTGCAACTCACAATTTCATAACACTTATCTTTTTATCAAATTAAAAAATCCTATTAAATCATGAATGAAAGTGTGGATACTTGTTTATACTGTATATATAGTAGTAGGTCACAGCTGGTAGAGATGTTACTATAAATTTACCTTACAGTGACATCATTTTTGTTTAACAGTTGATTGCAACTAGTTTTAATACAATGAAAGTTGAGCACAGTAACAAAAAGCTGGTCACCCGTTCTACAGTATCAATAGAACATATTAAGTTACAATTATAAAACTATATAAAATTAAAAGGAAATGAATTTATGGCATTATTTTAATAAATAAAAATAGATACAATATTATACTAGTAATTCCAACATTTATTTATTTAAAGTTTTCAATGTGCTAAAAATATCTTAATCAGGAGTAACAGTAATAGAACAGAGGTTCACAACTGGTGATATACAAACTGGCAAAGAAACTTTTTAATAAATCTGTAATCAGTGCCATTTTAAAAAATAAAGATAATTATTAAATAATACCTCCAGAAAAGTAATAATTAATGTTTAAAAAAATTTATTCTTAAACTAATCCTACCTGGTCAGTTATAAATATAATAAGTACCCTAGTTTAATACTAATAATAAGAACACACCTGAATTCTATTTGCCGAGTTTTTTTCTCTTTATTCAAACATTTTCAGCCTATTTGGATAAGCCATCCTAAGGTTTTCATTTATTGTTCCAAAAATTTTGGAACGATAAATGAAAACCTGAGGATGGCTTATCCAAATAGGCTGAAAACAATTCCAAAAATTTTGGAATGATAAATGAAAACCTGAGGATGGCTTATCCAAATAGGCTGAAAACGTTTGAATAAAGAGAAAAAACTCGGCAAATAGAATTTAGGCGTGTTCTTATTATTAGAATTAATATTGCTGAGAAGGTGGATATTATCTTATTTAATATTATTTATTAATATCCTTTAGATTAAACTCACAATTGTTACTTTAATCTGATAACAACAAGTGGCAAGCTGATCACAATAACTGGCAAGATTTTACACAAGAGATATAGAACTATTTCAAGAAAATTGATTTTGATTACATTAAGCAACTGATAACATTAACTAATGATCACAATAAGAAGTGGCCACCATAAATTAAATTTAAAAACTTTAAATATAATTTAAACTATTTTAATTTCTTTATTATAATTAATACTATCAAATATATTAATAGTTATTAAATATTGAATTTTAATTATAATTTTTCAATTTTTATAAAAATTAATTCACTCAACAATTTTTATTCTAAATCTTAAGAAAGAAAAGTTATTTTACAAAAAATAATAAGCTTACAACAATTTAATAAAAATGAATAATTTTTTAATTAGTACAATGCTTACCAGCATAAACACCATTTTGTAATGATCCTTCATAAAAGAAGTTGGAAGGAAATTTGCTAAGTTGTGGATGCATACGATACTGTACTTCCAAACGAAATGGACGTATTCCAAGAACTACTAATCTTTCAAATAATGACTGAGACAAACCAGCTCGTGCAGCTTTCTTGCACATCACAACTGGTCCTAATTGACAATGATCTCCAACAAGAATTAACTATATAAAATAAATTTTCATTAACTTTCAATACCAAAACAAGAAGTCTGCAATACATAATTATTAAATATATAATACCCATAAATATATGTTTTCTTTCTTCACAAAAAAGAGTTTTATGTGCAATTAAAATTATAATAATAATTTTGTTAATAAATAAAATGTTCTTTGTTTTAATATCAAAACTATAATATAATAATTTACTTATATATGAAAATGATAAAAATATTCAAAACATAAATAATTCAATAAATATTTAATTTTTATCATATGCTTAATCAATAAAATCTTAAAACTATATTGAACCTATTGTGTATGTTATGCCAACTTAATTTTCAATAAATTGTCATAAAAGTTTTGAACAAATCAGTGAGATCCATAGGGTAAGAAATACCTATTATATACCTATACATATATATCAAAGGCTGCACAGCCTTCCTGCATCTCTACTTTTATCAACTGACAACATTCAATTCTAAGATTCAAAATTAACTTTTAGTTACCTGTTTTGCACCTAATACTACTGGTACCATACACTCTGGTTCAGTAGCTTGCATACTTTCATCAATCAAAATAGAATGAAATTTGAATCGTGCTAATCGTGGATCACCAGCACCAACACAAGTACAACAAATGACATCTGCAGCCTGTAAAAGGAATCAATTATTTAATGACAAATTTCTAAAAATTATTTCAACCAAAAATATATTATTAAAATACAAAATCCTCTTAAATAATTATAGTTATATACATCTGAATATCAAATAAAAATTCAAAAATGCTATAAAGTTTAACAACAAATTAAATTTAACATATAAAAGATATGAAAATTTTGTTAATATGTATGTAAACAAGTTTATGAAATAGAAAAGATTTTGTATTAATATGAACTGTATGGCCCGTTTTATTCACTTGAAATATATTTTCAATCTTAAAAATGTTAAATTTTAAACTTTCCTTAAAAAACTCAAAATTTACACTCAATTGTTCATATTCATGATTCCAATGTCTCAAAATTAAAGTACTTATTATTAAAATAACACATAATTATTGCATTTCTTATTTTTGTCCATTAATAATATATTTTAAAATTTAAAACTATAAAAAATACCAAATCTGATAAAAAGTTTATACTATTTTCTATTTTATTTTTCATATTTGTTGGTTGCACTAAATTGTATCTTAGTATAACTAATCTATCTATTGGAGAATACTTAATTGTTTTGTGAAAATATAGTTCTAATAAAAAAAAGGTACATTTTTACAATTTAACTATTTGTTATAATGATAAAACATATCTCAGATTTTATTTCGTTAGTAGCATTGTATCATTTTAAAATAGATGACTTAAAATATAATAAAAATTTTAAAGCTATTAATAATTTCCTAAAGATAAATTCTGTAATACTGATAATGCTTAGAAATCAAACACTAACTTATTTGTTCTAAATACAATATTTCAAATAATATCCAAATATCAAAGTTATTAAATTTAACTTATTTAATTTTCAGAAAATTTAATATATATGATGAGAGATCATAAACTACTAAGTAAATTAGCAAATTAAAGACTAAAAACAAATCTTAATAAAATTACTGACTTCATCAATGTAAACACACTTCTTAATACTGAATTAATTTCAAATCTACTAACAAAATTTTGATATGATTGATTAGATTTTGTTATACTATTTCCAATGTTATTCAAATATATAAATGTTTCATAAGTATAGTTAAACTCAAACTGATTGAGTTTAATCTAGGCAGTTTTAGATTTAAAAACACTTTTAAAAGCAAATTTTAAAATAAAATTTGTATATAAAAATATAAAAAATTCTATGTACTATCTAAAATTAACATATAACAATTTGTAGTTGTACCTCTAATAATTCCTTCTCATGAGCTTTTTTAAGCATTCTATAACGCTTCTCATCTGCTGATGATAATTCACCTGTTTCATCTTTCAACTGTTGCAGTTTGTTCAACTCCGAATGACTATAAAAAAAATAATTTGCCATCATGAAAAAAGTGCTTTAACAGAAAAGAAAAAAATATAAAGCATCTACATATGCATATACACACACTTTAAATAAAATAATAGGTTTTGAAATAAATTATTAATGATAAATGGGAAATAACATCAGAACCCTAGTTTAAATCAAACCCAAATTTTCATGTACTGTACACTAATTTTACCATAAAGTTGTCAACATTAGTAATAGTAAATTCATGCCGAATTCATGTAATATATATTAGTAATAGTAAATTCATGCTAACAAGTAGTAATAGTAAATTCATGCCGAAACATCTCTAACTATATTTTTTTCAGTTCAGTCAAACCAGCTTTACTTATTATAGGAGTATTATAAAGAGAAATTTGGCTGTAACATCTTGTATATTTGGATCTTTCAAAATTTGTTTGTGATTTTTCAAATTTATAATTCCAATTTATTTACCTTAATAATTATTATATCTTAAAAACTTCAGTGAAGAATCACCAAAAGAAAATAAAAATACTTCTGATAGCATTATAATACCAATCATTATGCAAACTTTTTTAATGCATAACAAAAAAATCATCACTGTCATCAAAAACTGATTCAAAAATAAACATCTAGGAAAATTTCTACTAGCCAAGAGAAAGGATCAAAAGTGAAATGATGTACAGTACCATTACAAGAAAAAACAAATTGTTCAATATTATTATGATACAAAACAACATTTATAAATGTTATTTTTGTATGTTAATAAAAGTGACTGCCCACAACAAATTTAAAAAATGCAGCATGTTGTTATTTCAACATTTCTCATTTTAAACTTTAAATGTAATATTAAATTAAACATTTACTCTACATTTAAATTAGTAGTAAATAGTAAACAAAATATCACCCTGAAAGAGAACAGAAATGCTTTACATCTCCAATAGTTTTACAAAACTTTATTGTTAATAAAAAATTATACCTGTATTAAGTTAACAAAATTACATAAACAACATAATATTAATGATAATAATCAATTTTCAAAAATAATTTATAAAACATACATGTAAATAAGATAATCAGTCTTTGACAGATATTCTACTAAGCAGGTAACAATATATTCTATCAATATCATTCTAAAACAAATGAAGTGCCAAATTATTAAACTATTATAAGGCAAAGTTAATGATTAGAAATTAATTAATTTGTCTAGAGATAGATGGTAATATTGCAGTTAAGAAAAGAAGCAGCCTGAAGTGAAACTCAAACCTACAACTCCCACTTATCTAGTGGATGTGTTGCCAGTTATGCTACCCAGATGCCGCCATCTCAGGAAGATCAGATGGAGAATCTGATTTTCCTGAGATGACGGAATTTTATTTGGCATGACAATTTAGTACTTCATTTGGTTTAACTAATGAATCAAGTTTAGAAATGTTGTTGATAACAATATCATTCTATTTAACTAAGGCTAGGACATCTAAGCACTGATGCCTAGCATATCTTATGACAAATGATAAATGAAATTCCTGTCATTTTTTTCATGCTCTCATTTAATATTTATAATGCAAACTATTTTTCTGACAGGAATATTAAAAATATACAGTAGAGCGTCATTTATCCGAAACGTTGATTATCTGAAAGAATTCCAGTCGGCAAATTTAAATTTTTGCTAGTGCTGTGGCGCTGCAATCTTTGGCTATATCTTAGGCTACTCCAATATTTTTTATGTTTGTGTATGTGTTTTAGCTGGCAGCACTGTCACTTTTGTGTGATGTTTTTCTGAGGACTATGTGTCATGCTGAATCGAACGTTTTTGATACTAGATAGCTTCTAAAGTATAAATTATTTTTTGTTTTTATATTTTTCAATATATTTATTTTGTTTGTAAAAAATAAAGAAATAATTTTTAATGATACAATAGCCACGATTATTATTTTAAAAAGCTTACATTAGGCTTAACATCGATGAAAATTCAACGCAAAGCTACACGCAACGGAGAAAAGTTTCAACATGGGATAGGTTAATGTATTTTTTCGTACATAATCAGTTATCAGAAAAATAAGTTATCCGAACAACCCCAGTCCCCAATTGATTCGGATAAACGATGCTCTACTGTACTTTATATGAATATCTTGTGAAGATTTTTGAACCAACAGAAATATTCAATTAATGACAAAAACAAGATGACTGAAATGGAAATATCAAACTTACATAATTCAAAAAAAGTAATATTAATTGAAATTGGATTTAATTCCTACTCTCTATTCAACATTTTATTCAAGTGAAATTTTAATGTAGCAATGTCATGAACTACAAGAAAAATAGTAGCTGCATAAATGAAAGATACAGAATTTTTAAAATTGTTGAAGAGTGGTTTTTCACTTAGAATAATTTTTGGTTCCTGAAGTCAACAGAACAGTACAAATAATAAACTAACTAATTTATATTATTCTATATAACAGGGGTGGCCAACCTGCGGCTCGTGAGCCACATGTGGCTCTTTGAAGGATTATTTGTGGCTCTCGATAAATGTACCCGAGTTCCCTTTTCATTTTTGTGTTGTTATATTTTTAAAAATTATTATCATTCCTTATGTGTTTCAAAATGTCTTTTAAATTACTAACAACAAATATGAAAGACTAAGTGCAACGTTGTAACAAATTTCATTTCCGTCCAAGTTAAGAATGATATGACTCATCGAAAACTGAACGAACAAACATAAACAGTGGTGTAATCGTCCGTTATCGACCGACTCCAGACCGATTTTGAATTTAACTCATTAAACTCATTGCAATGAACAGTTGACATTGTGCTCTGGAGGAAACAATTTGTATCACTCTTGCTACAGATATAATTTGTAATCTGGAATTTTTTGCATATCTTTTTAATATGTATTTAATTGTGGCTCGCAAAAAATTTCAAATTTTGAAAAATGGCTCTGACTATCAAGGAGCTTGGCCACCCTGGCTATATAACAATACAAAATATATATTTAATACTCTACTTCCTCTTTAGGGTGTATAAAAATAAAAAAAAATTATAAAATTTAGAAACTATAGAAAAATCTAATATACCTGGTAACTTTGATTATAAACACTTTACAATTAATTAACACAAGATGATAATTTTAACAAATAAAAGAATTATTATATTTATAAGAAGCTATTATTATTTGCATCTCCATTATTTTAAATACATATAATTTACTTTACATTTTTTACAATTATGAGATCTTTCAATAAATATTTATATGTAATAAATGTAACCAAATTGACAATAATAATAATAAAAGGTAACTTATATATTAACATATTTGAATAACTTTCCTTTGGTGAGTTAACTCCAACATTTATGCCAATCTGATATGATATTCAAATATTAATTCTATGACAACATCAAATAAATAATCTTATGCTGAGATAGTTGGTTTAAGCAGCAAAATATCAAGCTGGTTTCCTAAAGTTTCTATTTAAATTTGTTACATCAGATTAAAATTATTCTCCCATATTTGGATTACTAGGATTTATGCAAACTTATTCTTAAAACACGCATTAATTAATTAATTAATTAATTTAAATGCATTTGTTAAAAAACCTCTATAGTTATCATAAAATTGCTTAAACACTAATTAAAAACATGTGAAAATATGGAAATTATTTTAACAGTTAAAAAGAACATTAAAAGTTGTATTTAAAAAATATACTATTACTATACTTATAAAATATAATTAAAATTTTAATTATATTTCGTAATCTTATTAAGATTTCATAGATTTCATAAAGATACTATACCAAAATAATCCATACCCTTCCATATTCCTGATTTGATTGTGAAGAGCTAGAAATGAAACAGGTGAACTAATTGCTTCACGGCTTTTTGCACAAAGTCGAACCACCTAAAATTAAATTTACAAAATTAATAAAGTTAAAAAGATTAAACAATTATTATTTCATATATGAACATATAGCTAGATCACAATTAATGCAAGTTTGAATAACATGATATTTGATTAAGTGCAAATTATAAAATGATACTAGGTTGCATTTAATGCAAGCCAAAATTCAGTTAACATGAAGATAGTGGCATATGAGTAGTTGTGGTTACTGCAAGGGTTTCAGATGCTTCTACTTCAATCTTTATCTCTTTCCTTTCAATAAACAAGAATAGATGTTCTGTTGTCTGCCTTAATATTCACTTGTTGTGATTTATTTTAATTGTTTTAGAAAGTGTCTTTAATAGATCATCTGTGAATAGAAGTGATCATCTGTCCATTTTATTTAAATAGACAGATGATCATTTCAAATAAAAAAAAAAATATAAGAACAAAAATTCAGCTTTGTTAGAACAAAATCTAAGCAAGAATTAGATGTGACTGAATGAAATGAACATGATCCTATGGAATACCTCAAACTAAAGTATGCACTATTCTTAAAAAAGTAAAGAGAAGTTATATCAATATTTTATTGCTTGCAAATATCTACAAAAAAAAGAGTGTTAAATGACAGAAATGAAACTTCTTTTAACTATATGGATTGAAGACTGCAATCAAAAATGGATTAACAGTGCAGCCATTTAGACAAAAGCTTTAAATTTATTTAAGACTGTTAAAGAAAAAAAAAAAAAATGTTATATGCAAACTCTAGTTGGGTTTATTAATTTAAAAATCAAGTTCAGTTACATAATGTTAATAATGTTTCAGTTACATAATGTTAAAATTACCAGCAAGATGGCCAGTGCAGATGAAGATATAGCATCTAAATATCTTGTTATTTTTGAAAAAATTATAATTGAAAAAAGTGAATATATTGATCAACAAATATGTTATTTAATATAAATGAAACCAGCTTATTCTGGATAAAGATCCTCCCAGAATTTTCTAAACAAAAACAAAAAAGCTCAATGGATTTAAAGTGTTTAAAGATCACCAAATACTTTTATAAGAAAGCAGTGTATAAGAAAAATTTCAATCAAAACTGTTGTTTGTCTATCAATCTACAAATCCTTGTATTCTGAAAAGATACAACCATAAATCACTTCCAATTCTTTGATAATCAAATAGGAAAGCATGGTTGATTCAGCTCTATTCAATGACTGGTTTTCAATGTACTTCTGCCCAACTGTTGAAAAATATTGTAAAAAACAGCTTCATAGCATTTAAAGCATTAGATTTTAGGTAATTTGTTATGTCATTCTACTACATTTGATTAATTGTATGAAACTGTAAAAATAATATTTTTTTTGCCAAATACACCTTTGCCACAGCTCATGAATAAAGGAATCAATGACATATTTAAGGCCTGCTATATATAAAAAAAATTTTTTTGAACAGCATTTGTTAAAACTTCAGGAGACTATACAATGTTCTTAATAGAGTTCTGGAAAAATTATATCATCAATCAGAATAAGGGAATAAATAAGCATAAACAGAAAATATTCACCATGCTTGGCAACAAAAACTGCAAGAAAAATGTATGAAGTATGGAAGTGGAAACACATTTTACCTCACTGTACTAGTAGTAGTGATTTTGAAAGAAAACTGTTATAAAAAAAATGGCAAAAATTGGAAATGAATTCAATTCTACATAACATAAACTAGAAAACAATGAACTAAAAAATGATACAAAATGTCTAGGAATTACTTAATTCACTTGGAAGAATTGAATAATGATGATCCTTTAAACTAGTAAAGAGCATTTGAACAAAGTAAAACAATGATGCCACAGGAATAATGTACAAGTGAAGAAATTAACTCTCAATGAATTTGAAGGTATCTTTTGAGCTATAGAAGTGAAGCAGAAAAAACGATAGAATGCTAAACCTATGCTTAACTGAAATATGAAAAATTTGCTGAAATGTGAATAAAATTATTATGATCTATCAGTACATATGTGATTTAGAAAAGAGAAGACCCTTCAGTCTATACTGCTTGACTACTATTTTGTACAAATTTTATTAACTTTAGCTGATAAAACTATGTATATTAATTATTTTCAGTAAGTAATAATTCTAATTATCTGTTAAAAAAATAAAAAATAAGTATTATTACTAATAATTTCATACCACTGAATTAAAATGTATCTCACACACATACCTTTAATCCAGTACGATGGATTTTTTCGGTTAATTGATCAACTGCAATGTTACTAGGTGCACAAACAAGAACAGGCCCATTACTTTGACGAGCTAAATGATACACTATAGTAGCAGAAGTTACTGTTTTTCCAGTTCCAGGTGGGCCCTAAAATATTTAGTTTTGATTATAAATCATAAACTCATAGCTATATAATTTAAAATTATAATAAGCCATTAGATTGTGGATATTTATTACATAAAATAAATGGATATAAAAAAATAATCTTGTATACTACTAAATTCTAAAATTAATAATTGTTAAGTCTAAATACATGAAACATTAGTATCATTAATAGTTTGACAGGTTATGCATTTACAAATTATTTCTGCAATACTATTTGTTTTATTGTCTGCATATTTTTTGAAGAAGTCAAAGATGGCAAACTGGTTTATATTATAAATTAAGTATGTTGAATTTAATAAAACTTTTATTATATATATTAAAAAAATTTATACATTTTGAATTACAGTAAAGTCTCTGTAATCTGTCCATTTACTNTTGTATTTTATGTATTGAATGAATACTATATCAATATTTAAAATTAAGTTTCAGGTATAAATCTGACACATCAGAGTTTTACAATGGAATAAGTGTTGTTAATATTGCTGAATGCCTTAAGGTTGATAAGATAATTGTTGATTTTGTTTATCAGTATTGGAAATTGAAGAGAAAGGTAAGTTGCAACTTTCATTTAATTGAAGCAGTTAAAGTAATTAAATTTAATGATTATTCTGTTATTTTTTTTAACCACTAACAAATGTTTTTTATTTATGAAAAGTGCATATGTTAAGCAGTTTTACTTTTAGCTTTATTTATCAGATTTGAAAATACGTTTTTTTTTCTTTTCTTGAGAAACTTTACAAAATAATTGATTAATTTGTAAGTTTGTGCACTTTAGAAAGTAAAAGAGTTCTTTAAGTATTAAATTTAGACTTATTTGAAAACAAGAATGTTGATATTCATATTTCTAAGGTGTCTTTAAAAGCTTTACAATTGGTTCTTTCACAAAAACAATAACAATATATTAAAAAAATTTATACATTTTGAATTACAGTAAAGTCTCTGTAATCTGTCCATTTACTAGTTTGACATACCCAGTTATCTGACACTAACTACTCTCAGGTATGCTACTGAGTCATAGAAAAGCTTCCCACTAGTTAAAATTCCAGTTTCCACTAAACTTTAACACCTCCCCACTAATCATATCCTGAAATTGTTCATGATATTAGTATAACACAATACTGTATAAATATAAAAATCAGCCCCTTGAAATTTCCCATGAAAAATACTATGCTTCTCACTAAGTTTTCCACAGATGCTTCTATTTTCCATTGAATTTATTAGAAATCCACTAGGTTTCCTGAAATTTCTGATTTTAGATTTATACGGAATGAAAAATACCAGTATTTGAGAATTGTTTTAATTTTCTATTATTTCTAAAAGTACACATACTTTTTTGTAAATTTCCGTCCGATGGCAATAATTATAATTAAATATCTGAAGATAAAGTCCTCCCAAAAATAGTGATTTCTTTTTTTGGAAGGATTTTTGTCTTCAGATATTTAAGTACACATACTATTAAATTTACCCAGCATATGAGCCCGGCATTGTCTGGCAAAAACAACAACAAAGATTAAGATTATTTTGTAATTCTAATCCTTCTATTTTAGTAGCCCAGGACACCCCCTAATGGGTGTTCTAGCAGCAGCAGTGTCATTCCGTGGTATAAATAATAAATTCCTATTATAAATAAAAATAATAATTTACTGAATTTCTCATGGTGTACCCTACTAAAACACAGCCAAAAATGCAAAAAACCGCATCAAATAATAATATACTGAATTTNAAAATCCTGTACTAAATAAATAAAAATAATAATTTACTGAATTTCTCATGGTGTACCCTACTAAAACACAGCCAAAAATGCAAAAAACCGCATCAAATAATAATATACTGAATTTATCGTTAGTTTAAATAATAGCTAGGGGCACCCCTAGTGGCCATTTTTGGCATACAGTGACAGTAAGAAAGAAAGAATACAGTTTTTCAGCTTTATATAGTTAGATATTTTATGGAAACATAACATAATTGACATATTTGGGATTTGTAATAAACATAGTTATTATTACAGCTTTAAAAATCAACAAAATGTAAAAATTTTGAAATATTTTCAAGTCTACACATATTTTAAAAATATTAAGGCAATGTAATATTTTGAGAAAATATAAAAACTGTAGAAAAGTACATTATGAATAAAATGCTAAACTTCTGTATGATATATTAAGAATATTTCATGAAAAAAAAACCATTATAGTCAAATCATCTCAAATGTTTCTTGGGACTATTTTTGCAAGGATAGCAGCTTACATAAAAATTTTAGTTTATCAAAAATGAATACAGTTATAAGTTCCAAACATGTGTAAAAATATTTTGTCAAGTTTTAAAAGCTTAAAAAATTTCGCAGGATTTGAGTTCATTTTTTTCAGAAATTGACCTTCAGAAATTTACAGGATTCCTGGGAACAAGATTCTAGGAATTCCCATACTAAAAACCCTAAAATTTATCAACTTGACAATATTGATTACTGGCAATACTAGCATGTGTGGATGTTTTGATCAGTAGTCCAATTTAATACAATATATTAACAGCATGCTGATAAACAAATGTTTTATTTCCAAATGATTGACACGTTGAAATTGCTTCATTTTCGATAATCCAACAATCTTTTTCCTGTATATATCAGATGACTGAATTGTGCTGTATATAAGAATCAGTTTTATCAAAAAAGTTTTTGTTTACATTATATCACAAAAATTATTATTAATTATACCTGAATAAGAGATAATGGTCTTTGTAAAGCATGTTTTACTGCATAAACTTGGGATCTATTTAATTCAGGAAGATTAGGTGCTGAAAAATGTTTTGGTAATTGATATCTCAAAACAACATCTTCTACTTCATGTCCTAATAATTTATGATATATATAGGGAGAAACAGAAGATTCATCTACAGCAAATTTACGTAATGCAGCTTGCATCCTGTAATAAAAATTACCATTTTTATTTTCTTTATAAATATATATAATTCTTTACAATAATATAAAAATAAAATTGCTTATATGAAATAACAAAATTACATACTTACTGATATAAATATTTATTGTTATAAATACTAAACATATTCTACACTTCTGTATGATTAAATAACATGTAATTTGAGTAAACAATTTACCGTATTTACTCGCATATAAGATGAGGTTTTTATACATTTATCACAGCTTTAAATTCCTAGATCGTCCTGTATGTGTGAGCAAAAAGTTCTTTGTGTTTTTGAAATTATATTTGTGAACCACGTATTTGCACGTTTTACTGAATGCTTACCCTATTGTATTTAACAACAGACGTATTTTTCCTGGGTCGTTTGAATCGTTCTTGTATATTGTCAAAAGTAACAATGAATAGCAATAGGAAAAGCAAAGCTTTTGAACTGAATTTCAGATTGAAATTCCAAAATCACACAGGAGCCTGATGTACATTTTAATCCATTCCCACGTGAAAACAGATGATTATTCGGAAATTAGAATTCGGAGAAACTCACAAGTGTAATCAACAGAAAGTGGATTCAACTGTTAAGAGTTGACAAAAAAAGGTTCCTGATTGTCCAGCTTTATGTTAACAAATTATGTTGTCGATTTTACAAGATTTTTGTTTAAAGTTTAAAATGCCAGTAATTTTAATAATTTTTGCGGGACAATGTGTGCATTTACGTTCATTTGATATTTTACTTGTGATTAAACAAATAAAAATTAGAATTGTATTAATAAATCTAATTTTCTTTATTCTGATCTTTAAAGTTACACCTCATCCTATATGCGAGTAAATACGGTATTTAATTATAAAAGTTTTAATATGAATAATAATAATAATAATTTATATATACTGCATTTTATTGCATGTAAGACATATCCCATCTCAACATAGAATGTGAAAGGAAAAGTATTTAGTAAATTTAAGCCTTTCTGCATTTTTGGCACTTGACCCATAAATTTTTTCACTTTAGTCTAGTTAAAAAAGATAAAATTATAATGCAACTTTATTTAACAAAGAAAAAGTATAAAAGAGATCATTCACATTCTAATTAATACATGCACAAACTGTTAGCTACAGGGAAAAAACTGGTAACCACAAATACCAGTACATGCAATGTGAGGAATTCATTAGCCTATGAGAGATTGCAATTTCACATGTAAGATTCAGGTAAATTTTTGAGCCTTTTTCAGACAGAAATTGTTTCCAAAAAAACAGGCTATTGTAGAAAAAAATAATGATACTTTTTCATTCTAATTATTTTATTTTTATTAAGATAAAAAAATTTATATATTAAATAGGTGATTTACAATTGACAGAATAAAATTTTCTCAAAATTTAAAAATAAATCTCATATTATGCTACATCATTGAATATAATTGAGATAGTCAGCTTTCTCATATTTCCAATCTACCTTTATAAAAAGTACTCAAGGGCAATGTTCATTCAGTGCCTTTAGGCCTATACACTCACAGTAATCTGCCCCCGTGCAAGGAATGGCCAGATTAGTAGAAGTCTAGTGTATTTATCAAAAGATTTTCAGAGTTAGTAATTTTATAAAATTAAACCAAGCAGAAGTCTGAATTTTATAGCACAGTAACTTTTTATAGTTAAAAAATGAAAATAAAAATCTACACAATAAAAATTACAAAAAAAAAAATTATGTATTTATTTAGCATAATATTTTCATATAAAATATTTGATATATTATATCTCCGCATTATTTAATAAAGTCTCTTTTTGAGTTATAATAAACAGATCATAAACATGTGACATTTGATCACATTTCCTCAATTTTTTTTTTTTTTTTGTTAGCTATAGGGGAGAAATCAATGCATCTAGAATACATTGATAGTCCAACTAATAAAATGTATTATTTTAATGGCTTATAAATAAATATAAGCAAAATTAATAAAATAAAGTTAAAAAATATACAATAACATATATTTAAAATAAATATTACAAGAAAAAAAATATTCAATTGTGAATTAATTAATATTTGAACTGGCATTGCCAGTATAGTTCCAGAAAAGTTTTAAACCTTAACAAAGTTAAGAGAGAATTGAATATCAATCAATTTATTACTACATAAAACAAAAATTTATTTTCTTTACCTATCAAATGAGGTAGACTTCCAAACAAAATCAACAACAAAATTTGAAGTACATTCAGTAGGGACACCAAGATTTGTTTTCATTTCAATACCAACTTCTTCGCTGTAGTCTAAAATTTAAGTTAAGGTAATAATATCACAATATAACATACTATCAATTATATGATTACAGAAGGGAAAAAAACACAGAAAGTAAATTTATTTCACACTTTAAATAGTGAAAATATTAATTTTTTATTAAAAGACATAATATACAAACATGATAATATTAATTATTTTTTCTAGCAGCATGTTTTGACTCAAGTGGACTTCACATTTTAAACACATCATCTCAGTAATAATAAACATTTATTTATTAACTGAAGAAAGTCATCATTAAATTTACCAAAAGCATTTTATTATATATTCATTTATATAAAAATGTATTTATCTATTATAATAATAATAACAAAACAATATAATAAATGTATAATAATAATAATAATAATAATAACTCTCCCGTGGTCACCACCTGGTCGTGGTGGGAGAGCCCAGTAATTTTACTGATCCATAGGGCAATGCAGGCTGGAGCACAAGCTCCTGGTAGGGACACCCATGCCAGTAAGGTCTATGGGGAGAAATGAAGCTAAGAGTGACCACACACCCACATTATGTGGAGATAATCATAATGGTAGTAACCAGATCAAAGTGTGATACCGGCTCGGACGTCGCCCGGGTTAACAAGGTCCGCGTTCATGGGTTAGGCAGAGGCTCACGTTCGAAAAATAGGC